TTTGAAGGCTGCCAAGGGCTCGGTGGGTAGACAAGGGGAAGGGCATTCCAGCATAGGCACAGGAATAAGCAGAAGAGAATGGGTGGGTGAATGAATGCATGGAGTTGGTGTGGTGGGATCCGGTACCAGCAGCTAAAGCTCCTGTCAGTAACACCGCGTGGGAATCCTGCTGCCCAGAGGCCATGTTGGAGGCGGTTCACAGTCATGTCATTGCGCTCCACTCCAGTTTCACCAGGCTCTTCTTGGTGACTGAGATCTCGGATCTAGGATGTCTCTTCCCCAGAGGCCAGGTGGGGAAGGTTTCATCAGCCTCCCCAGCGCCCCGAGGAGGTGGGACTGCCAAACGCAGGATGGAGCAAAATGGAGCAGAATGGAGAAGCCGCGGCAGCCTCCTGCGCCTTGGCCCCGAGGGTGTTTTCTTCTGCCTCGCGCCGCAGCAGAACCATAACCACACTTTAAATTACTACTCAGGACACACACACACGAAAAAAGCGTTTCCCAAACAAAACCTACCCTTCCCTTGTGCGAGGCAGTCTATTTTCTATCCTAGCCTTTCCTTTTTTTCTTTTTCTATGCTGGTGACACGAAATCGCGTTTGTGACCCCGGAGTGAGCTGTGCCTGCAGTTCGTAAGCGCTGCTCGGGAGAGTGAGCTGCCGCCTTCCTCCGGCCCCCGGCTGGGAGGTGGGCGCTGCGACCCCGCTTCCTGGAAGGAAAACCGAAGCGAAGGTCAGCGCGCCCGGGTGAAGGCCCGCGGCAGAGCGGGCTCAGGCGCCGGGGACAGGGCCGCAGGCTGCGCGGGCCGGGAGCGGGTGACCACGGGCCTGCGAATGAGGTGAGCCGCAGAGGGGTTCCCGCAGGGCTAAGCGCAGGCTGGCAGTCGCAGAGGGCCGGGTTCAAGTCCCGCGTCCGCTACTCATTTGCTGTTGTGACCTTGGATAAGTGATTTTGCCTTTGAGTGGGGTTCCTCGTTTGTAACCCGGAGATAAGTAATCTCTCCCTAGAAGAGTTGCAAGGATTCAGGATTGTGTCCTTAATGTGTCCCGACAGAGCTGACGACTTCACGTCCCTAATTCCCTGGTAACCTTGGTTTCCGGAATTCAGGCTGTGCCTGCGGCTCCTTTCTCAGGCCTGACATCTGGGGATCCATGCGCCGGGTGCTCATTCCCACATCCCACTGTCCCCGCCACGCACACACGTGCAGTCCCTGGGTCGCCGCATTTCCTTTCCGGTCCCTGCGGCCAGCTCCTGCCCGTCCTCCCAGCCTGGGTCGGCGCGCCGCCTCCCACAGCTTTCAGCAAGGCGCGGGCTCAAGCTGCGCTCCAGTCTGCCCAACCGTGCGCGCCTCAAGGGCAAAGCGAGGGCCATCGTCATCCCGGCCTCTGGAGCCTCGCTGTGTGTGCACGAGTGTGTGTGTCTGTTGGGGGCGGGGATCGTGCAAAACCCCCGAGATGCCGCCTTCGGTCAAACCTCAGGCTCCAGCCCCTGCAGCTCTAACCAGCTCGTGCCCCCCTGGACGGCGACGGCGTCCACGAGGAGGGGAGATGCGCCCGGCGCCCCCTCTGCCCCCAGCCCGCGTCTGCGCCGAAGGGGCGGCGTGGGCGGCAGACCCGGCGCGAGCGGCGCGGGCTAAGGCTGGAAGGCGGCCGCGCGGCA